TCCCACCCCAACTAGGCCTTCACGGACGGTTACGTGGGCTGCCTGTCAAATCTCCTGATCAACGGCGTTGTGCAGGACATTCGCGGGATAGTGGAGCGTGGCATAGTGACGTATGGCCTTCGCGTTGGTTGCCAACCGCGTTGTGAGAGGAAGCCCTGCCTCAATCGGGGTGTATGTAACGAATTTTACTCGCACTACTTCTGTGAATGCGGTCTCACACCCTATCGAGGCTTCATATGCGGTCGTGGTAAGTCTACCACTCGTGGAACTTAAATGCCTTTTGGAAACCCCATTTTTGCACTCATAAGCTATAGTACAAATAGAATCAGAAACTACCAGCAGTTAATCGCACCTAAGATATCTACATTGTTCTAGAATAATGAAGAGACAACAAAAAAGATTGGTAAAGTAACGTATTCGCACTATTATTGAACGACTCAGTCATATCTGGAAACTAACCAATATTACTACATTCCCCAGTTAAAGTATTCAATCCCCGGGTTCTATTTCATTGTTGTTATATTTCTATTGGAAGATAACTGAAAATACCTTTTTCTCAAATGTTTCATTTTCAGTCAGTAGGACGGCTGCTATGCTGCTTACTAATTTTACTAAAGTTTTGCACTTGTTTCAGAATCATTTTTGTTTTTCTAAATAGTTACATTTAGTGCTTGTTTCGTTGCAAAATTTAGGATCACCGAAGGTTAACTTAAACTATCCTTTTTTTCCTTGATACTAACCAATCCCCTAATCACGCAGTTTGCAGTACAACGTTAGTTGTAATAGCATATAATTCCATGCCAAATGACTGAATTAGTGCAATCAATCTTTGGCGAAATTAGCCCGGAATAAATGCATATGAATGCTTGCGATTGTCTACCCATGTAGCTCTGATTTTTCCATTGAACTCTTTTAGAGGTGGGAGCCACTTTTAACAATGGTCCAATGGTGAAGATAGATCTACGGAATCTTCATGACCGACTGGGTACGCTGGAAGAATACATAACCATTGGCTTTAAAACAAAATCCAAGAACGGAATCCTTATGGAGATGCTGGGAGAGGGGAAGACCAATTACATAATAGTAAGAATTAACAACAATGGTGGGATAACAATTGAATTTGATGTCGGCTTCGGTCGCTTCGAGGTCACAACAGACTACATAGTTGACCTGGCAAACGACCAGCACCACACTGTGGTCGCATGGCGAACGCATATTGGTCAGGTTTGGCACCTGCAGGTACGTAATTCTTCGCACTTTATATTAACCATATATACTGCCTACTTACAAGACACAAGTAGACACATTTATGTTGCAAATAATGTATTTTTGAAATTCAAGGTCGACGACTACCCCGAAATAGTGGCAAATTTCAGTTCACTGCTTTCGGAAACGGCAGACACAAGGCTGGATAAACCGAGGGCAATCTACCTCGGTCGCAATGAATCTATGCCCTCAAACCGTGGCTTTGACGGATGCCTATACGCTGCCCAGTGGAACAGCTTCTTCCCCATCCGCATGCTCTTCGAATCACCACCGAATCCAGCCGTCTATTCCGAACCACCAAGTACGTACGCCTGGCTGCGAGCATTAAGCGGATGCGAGGACTTCGTTTTTGGACTTATCACACACAGTCTAAGAGATAGTGTTTAGCCGACACCAAAAGTCGAGGAGATTGTTAGAAATTTAATGCATT